CTCATGATGGGCAGTTTTTGGGAATGGAGCGTTTGTTCCAAGCCGTATTTTGACTAAAAAAACTGTTGCATGAGCATCGCTCAGGGTCATAATTGGTGGCGAATCATGGATATATGGTATACTTCAAGGAGGTTGTATTGATGGCCATGTAACGATTGCGCACGGCTGGTGTGAACCTCGAAGTGAGAATGGGCCAATTGACACTGAGTCTGTGGCGAGAAGCGCTAACTGCGCAACTTTTGCGGCAGACAACCAGTATGCAATTGAACCCAGGTTTGTATTTGATAAACCCTACAAAATACTAATGAAACATTTTTGTTCATTGTCACACAAGAATGACGAATTTCTGTCGTATTTTGCCTCCTGTAAGAACCAGGGAAGTTCGAATAAACTCAGCTTTCCTCATTCTTTATATTAAATTCAATATTTTTTGAAGTATGAGGCTACAGAAGTGCTAGATATAGTAATACAGCACTCTTGAAGTGATATTTCATCGATTAATATAATGTTGTTGTACCGCTTGTCTTCTGGCTAGCATATCTTCATATCACCAGCAACGGGAACTAAGTCCCTATGAAATATTGAAAAATGATGAAACAGTGGAGTACATACTTTATGACTGCCCCGCTGGGGACCGAATCAGTTTTTACCTACCTACCAAGTGATAAAACATGTAACAATTCTGTTGGTACCTATCAACAACATTCCGATTACTACAAACAACTGCAGACATTCAATTTGCTGGGTGTAACGCAATTAGAAGAATCCTGGTGTTCTTGAAAGAGTTTTGGCAATAAATTGTTACTGTCGAAATTCTTTTTCGCTCCGTAGCTTCGAAACAAAGCGCCCTATCAAAAATCATCTAGGGACAAAATATCCTTAGAATAGTCCAAGGGATAGTCCTATCCCTAAGGCATGTTTGATAAACATCCTGTTTATTATATGAACCTTAGAATTTGTACAGAGAAATAGGTAGTGATGAAATTTTGATTTTGATTTTTTGTAATAAGTAATTGAAGTATAGTTTTCTGAGGCGTGTTTTGAATATTTCAAAGAAGTTGCTGAATTAAGCGTACCACCTGATGTCAAGAACTCACACAAACGTAACAATGTCATCATTATCTGCATTATATAATATCCAGGTTCAAAAATAGGACAGCAATTGTTTCAAAAGAGTGGATCAATTTTGCCTTTGTTTTTTTTTCTCTTAGGTGAAATAAGTAACATACATTGATTGAAATTTATATTCGCTCAACGAAATATACATAATTGTAACGGTGAGAATATGAACATTTTTTTTCTTAGAACCTATGCCAGTTGAGGGGGTTCAATTTTTATTTATTCAAAATGAATTCTCCTGATAGACCGGCGTTCTAATAAAATATAAAAACTCATTATAGCTACTTATCTATCTACCTACGTTCAATATCTACCGCAGAAAATAAAAGCTTGCCAACCCCTCAACGAAAACAATTGACAAAAATTACATAGGGCACAACACAACATCTAGACATGAGTCGGATGGAAATAGGTATTTCCGGAAGAAAATAGGTGTTTCATGGTCCTCACAAAAAATGGATCAAATATAAGTCATTATTGATAAGACGTGACACAAATGGAAATATACATCTAATATACATCTAATAATTGGAATGAAAATAAATTTATCTGGTCAATTCAGACATCCGAGGGTACAAAAATTCGCACACAACTCAAAGTTGGTGGTAGGGTTTATCAAAACACCACATATGAAATCTAAAAAATCTTCATCGATTTTATGCCTTGAAAAAATTTATTAGGGATCGAAAGTCATCAAAAAGTGGTTTTTCGCGATTTTCGGCAAAACGGTCAATTTTATCATACAATCAGCTCAGACAAAAATTATTGATCAGATACTCATCTATTGAATATGCCTGGATTTTTTTCTAAGAGCCAGCGTTTCTGATATATAATGATTCAAAACGTTGGAAGAGTTGTAATCGTTATAATATGCACACGAGCTATCACCAACGTAATTCGCTTTTTTCTCTCTATGTATGATGTTCCTAAAAAACTACGTCTTCAGATAAGTTTTGAAACGCATGTTTCGTTAAAAACACTCGAAATAAAAAACAAGTGCAATTAGTTTATCTTCCTACAACCTCAGTGGCTGTTCATCAACGGGTATATTACCAAGTTCAAGTGTGACTTGTTTATCAGCTAGACCCACAAGACTGGAGTTGGAAGTTGGTCGCCAATACATTAGAACTAGTTCAGACTTCACTTCCATTGAGGTGTTCCGTTTCTGATATGGTGCTGGACAGACGCGCCGATAATGACTGTTCACAAAGAAGATGCACGAACACCATTGTTGAAGATAGAACTCGGTCTGTGTTTTGATTGTCCGCCGTCATGGAACGTGCCACCATGAAAATACTTTTGTGAACGTCTATAAGTGTTTTCAAAGAGAAATAGCACTATTATTCACGCCGGTTGGAGGCCGGGGTGGACCGGATATCCACGTGGAAGCGCTAAAGTGGATTTATATAACACCTACTCCCATTCACGCCGGTTGAAGGCCGGGGTGGGCCAGATGTCCACGTGGAAATAGGATTGTGCCAATTATATGGAAGACATGTGTGAAAAATCAGAAAGTCTTTCGAGCAGAAGGCGAATTTATGAAAAATTTCAAGTATTTTTATGATTGAAAAAGTTCGACATGAAAGGGGTGGCGGCAATGCTTCGAGCAAGACTGCTGCTCGTGTCAATTTTGATAGAAGAAGGATGGACAAATGCACCAAGGTAGAAAGCAACGTCTAATAAACCTAGAGAGAGAAAGAAAGAGACTTCTGTCACAACTGCATCATAAAAACAGCTCAAAAACAATTTTTTGCAACTGTAAAATAGTATATAGTGGTAAATGTGGTTGCAAAAAAGTTGGACTGTTTTATTCTCTAGCATGTACAAATGATCAAGACCGATCGTGCTCCAATGTTGAATCACTAACAGTTAGGATTTGTTTGATACCAACGAGGAGACATGCGATGTATCACCATTGAGGAAATTGATTTTCCACCCAGGATGAAGAAGAACAACAAGAAGAGGAGGCAGAAGTATCAGAGAATTATGAATCTGATGAATACATTTTTCTATATTTTTCCAATTCTTTGCGCTTTTATCATTTTCAACCCCTGTCAATATCTTTTAAAATCATTCAATAGTTCCTGTGCATACTTGTTTTATGACGATTAAAACTTTTTCAACATTTTGAATCGTTATATATCAGAAACGGTGGCTCTTAGAGAGAAAAGTTCCCAGACACTTAGGCCACATGTGACCCATTTTACATCCTCTTTTCCAGGAAAGTGGACAGGTCACTGGGAGACATCTCCTTTATATCGGCAGATGTAGGCCAAGACTCGCCGAACACACACTCTCTTATTAACGATAACTCTGGACACTCGCATAGGATATGCCCGACAGTTTCATCTTCCTGTTCGCACATCCTGCATAGAGGTGTACCCATTAGCCTCATATTATGGAGGTGTTTTCTTAGTAGACAGTAACCAGTCAGATATCCTACTGTTGAGTGTAGATTTTTCCTGGTCATCAGCAGATATTTCTTCGGCGCCAGCTTTCCATGGTCGCCCAGGGTGATCCTGGCAAGATTGCATTCTTTGATTTCATCCCATCTCTCTAGGGATTGAGCATGGGTCTGACGTTTGCCTAATTCCGCAATTGTCGAAGTCAGTCCGTAGGTGCCACTGGGTCCTAAAATTCTTAGTTCAGCCGCTTCCTTGGCTAAAGAGTCGGCAATGCGATTACCTTCACCCTTGTCGTGCCTTCCAATCCACCTCAGGTTAATGTTATTATCTACCGAGGCTTTGGCTGAATCTTGTTGGCACTCTAGTACTAGCCCTGAGGTAACACATTGTCTGTTGCAGGCTAATAGGGCTTGTCTGCTATCCGTGCATATTATCAGGTTTTTGCCAGAAATTCCTTTTCTGGTTATTTCTTTTGTGGCGATTGAGATACCAGCCACTTCTGTTTGGACCACGCTGGTATTTTTCCACATTCACCACCTAATCCTTGGGCTCAGTGATCTGTAGTACACTCTACATTCTGAGCCTTCTTTGATTTTTGAGCCGTCTGTATATATGGATATTGCGTTTGTAGCATCCGAATCTGCGTTCTGTTTTATTTGTATTTTGAAGGGTTTATTAAACACAAAACTGGGTTCGAGTGCATCACTGGTTGCCTGCAGCAGAGGTTGCGCAGTAAGCGCTTCTCACCATAGGCTCACACACAATCTCCTTAACGTACAGGTCCAGAGGGGTCAGGCCAGTAATTATTTCCATTGCCGCAGTTGGTATTGTTCTCATTGCTCCTGTGATGTTTAAACAAGCCAATCGCTGTATATAATATAATTTTTGGATGGCCCTTGCTTGAAGAACTTTCGGTCCTCATGCAATGGCTCCCTTACGTTAACATAGGTCTAATTATTGCAGTGTAGATCCAGGTGACCACACGGGGTGAAAGACCCCATGCGCGTCCCACTGTCCTCCGACATTGTTTATAAGCCATATATGCTCTTTTTGCTCTACTCTGTAGGTGAGAGTTCCATGTTAGCTTCCTGTTGAAGATATATATACATGCATATAACAAGTATGATCATCATAGGTTGTATCTCATCAGATGAGTAACTTCAAACTGACTTTAATCTTTCCCATTTATTTGAGATGACAAATAATAAATTTTTCTATATGGCAATACTTTTTTCATTTGCAAAATGTTTCGCAATTGTACAATTTGTCTGCTGATAATTATAGAAAACGTGTTATAAGAGATGATTTCTAGATGTTATATTCAATATACAAAACTTTCAATAATAATAGTTGGTTCGATTTCAGTTGAATGAAAACTAATGCTTATCTGTTAACATTTGTGTCACGTCATATCACTATCATACGATGAACATGTGAATATATTACATTTATATACCAGTCCAAATGATTTCTTACCTGTTATAGAGCAAAGAAGGCGTAGAGTTGGTGCTGAACCGGAGTATTGGTTTATCATTCCTTGTGAATGTGCCCTTGGTGCAGGCATACTCAACGTGATTGCTTTGTGGAATTTTCTCCTTCTAGGTTCGACTGTCACAACTGGGGATACAGCGACACTGTGCCCCAGGAGTTTCGCTGTTAGTTCTGGATCTATGGGTTGTGCCTGAAGACAAATATTTTTCTGGAGATCTTGCTATTACAATATGGTTTTCTTCGCAGTTTATGCAGAAATCAAATATCGTATTTTTGAATTTGTTCACTTGTGATTGTTTTTTTCTGATTTCTCACATAATTTGAATGTAACAATAATATCAGTATGGATCGGATCATACATTGCTTCCATTTGATAATGAAGCTAGTTGGACGAAAATACTTTGGAAAATGAACATATGACACCTATGATGCACTGTTTGGAACTTTTGGTGTAGTTATGAATATCACTAGAGTTTTTTCCCCAACACCAAACTGTCATTTCGAAACCTCGACACGTGTTTACATTACCAGTTTGATCTTCCTCTTGAAGATGGTCACTTAGTGATCGAAACACGTACCGAAGTGTTGAAGTAATGGTTTGGTGTTGGGAAAAACACTAGTAAAATTTATATCACACTTTAAGTATTTGAATCACATGAAGAACCATGTTTGAGGTTGCAGTCAGGTTTTGGGGGCTATTTAACGAAAACTTGTTGTTTGGTAAACTCTCGGTGGTGCTCACCACCTTTCTCAGTACAACTGAAATGTATTATTCACCAATATCTTTTTACAGCACAAACTGATCAGCTTTCTACTCTGAGATTAAAAAACAAAATGAGTATTTCTACAAAACATAAAAACTATTCGAGAGGAAAGTGTTGTAATAGCAAGTGTTACGGTAGCCTGATGAATTGAAGTGGGTGATTTGCTTCACTCACTCAATCCAGTGCTGTGTGAACCGGGGGTTCGAACCGCAAGGTCGGACGATCGATTTTCACTTTCTATCGTCCAAACCAAGTTGGGAGACACAAGTTAAAAAGTAAGACCTCGTTAGTCCTTAGCTTGCACCACAAGTTTCGACTTTTGAGCGTGGTCGTTCATAAAGGAGCGACAGCTGGTTGACGGAAAAACAGGTTTCTTCAACACAATAATTTTCTGGGTGAAAATTTTGAATAGAGATGAAAATAGCTTACTCTTGCCTCTCATGTAAACCTTTGACTTAGTAGGTACGTGTGGCAGATACCCGACGGAAAAACAACAACAAACCCAGCTGATGCCGCGCAGAAAGCTGAAGTGGAACAATTTGAAATATTCGTCGCAAGAAACTTTTAATATATGAAAAGCAGAACGATAGACCGGTTTTGGAGTACTAGCTTCTCGTTAGTACCGAGAAGGTGGTCATTCCTGACGGAGTGAACCGTCCGAGTATCTCGATCGAAAAAAATTAATTCCCAATAGTCATAAAATCTACCTGCAGTTGATTCAGCAGAATGTACCACCGCGCCATTAGCAGAAAAAGTCTGGAAACAGCCACATAAACATATACTCTGGAGCACTTCAGCGAGGATCTCTCTTTTATTATACAGAGAGCCCTGTACTCTAACCTGAAATATTCTGTTTTTCAGGAAAGACCCAATCCACCGGATCGGGCCCCGAGGCAAGTCGAACGCGACTAGCTTGTGCAGAAGACCTTCATGCCATACACGGTCGGAGGCCTTCGAAATGTCTTAAAAAAACTACGTGACCATTGCAATTTTAGTTAAGCTCTGCGATGGTGTTTTTGACCAGTCTCAGTACCTGTAGCTCAGTGGAGTGTTCTCTCCTGAAGCCGAACTGTTCGTCAGGCAGAACTTTTTATTTCTTAACTTCTTCGGTTGAGTCTTTGCAGGATGACTCTTTCAGCCAGCTTAGCCACCGACAAGAGCAAATTGATCGGGCGATAATTCTGCGGAAACAGTAGGTTTTGTCTTTGTTTTGAGATCATGACAACGATCGCATGCTTACACCTTCTGGAGAAGGATCTGAGGGCCACAGATCTGTTGATCATTTGTAATATAATTTCAACGCAGTTTTCCAGAAGCCTTTTCAACAACTTGTTGGTTATTTAATCGACCTGCGGAGCTTCCTTTGCGGCCCTGATATAATCCTTCAGCTCTTCCACAGAAGCCGGGCGGATGTTATCATTGTCATCTTCCTTGATGATACGGTGAACCCGATCTTTCAGCAAAATATCGGGGTCGATATCGTCATTGTCGTCAACGTTAAGTTGAAACTGACATTATATCAGTAACACTGATAGAATGTCAGTTTACCCAATTACGGAGACCCCAGAGTAACACACTCCGCGGTCTCCGTAATTGGGTGAGGGAGCAGTCTTCTTCATTGTGAGTCTGCGGGTGAATCGCCAAAGCTCGTCCTCCCCAGGCTCAAGGGATTGCAAAAGCTCCTCCTACCTTCCGTTACGGTGATCAATGATGACCTGTTTGACTTAATTGGCCATCCTACTTGCCGCAATTTTGTCTCCTAGGAAAAGGGTTCGTTGATATGCTCTTCTCAGGTGGTTTCTCTTCCGTATCAAAGCTTCGATATGAGGGGAAACTTATTGTAGCTCTTCAGCCGGAAAACTCGAAACACTCAGCTGCCGCGTCGAGTTCGTCGGGGGAGCGAAGTGCCTCAGGAGGGGCGCGCATCTCTCCGAGCTGGGTTGTGAAGATATCCCAATCCGTCGAAGATCTCATACGATAATCAGGGGAAAGGAGATCATCGCCCAGTACCAGGATAACTGGATTATGATCAGAATCAAATTCCGACAGAACGTTAATTTCGCTAGTCAGAGAGAAGTTTCTGAGAAGCGCTATGTTTAGTACGTCAGGCCTAGTCTGCTCGCGATAGTACGTTGAACTTATTCCTCCGAGAGCTGATTATTTATAGGTCTTTCGAATGCTTTCACCTATCCCCTCTTCCCTCTCTCCGCTTCATTGGTTTTGGGGGGAACTTACTGTTTCGTGGGAGTTGGTCGTTTTTCGCTTGATTATAGGTTTCGAAATGTTACGCAATTCTACGCTAGCTTGACCAAATGCTCTGTTGGACAATATATATGCGACTTCTTCGAATTTTCTCCTAAACCAGTATTCCTCCTTGTAGATGATTTCAGCTTGAGAACTCTTGATGTTATGTTGATGAGTTCAAACATGCTCTGCTATTCCTGATTTGCTGGTTTTCACCTCGCTGTATGTTTCTTATGCTCGGCAATGCGAACTTTCGATGGCCTCTTAGTTTCACCGATGTTGGATTCTCCGCACTCGCAGTGTATCCGCTGAATGCAATGCTCATTCTCAGATCTGAAGAAGGCTCTCGTTATACTCAGACCGAATCCTTCCTATCCTTTTCAATAATCCTCTGATGTAGGGAAGTACAAGTACTGGTTGTGACGGCTTACCTTCCTTGTGAGGTTCTTGCTGTCTTCTAGCCGAAGTCTGTTCCACAATTACTTTGGAGTAATCATTCCGTTGAAGGTCATTTTTGATGATGCCCAGTTCCTTCTCGAGACCTTTCTTCGTATTACAGAGTTCTAGAGCACGGTCTACTAGAGTCTTGGTGATTTCTCTCTTTGTCGATTGATGTACAGGTTAAACAGGTTGATCTCGTATTCTGGGTAGGTTTGGCAATTAATCCACGAGCCACCCAGGAAGAATTATAGCTATTTGAAGTTCCGNTTTTTATTTTGATTTTCTTTTGAACAACCTATCAAGGAGGTTACGTATAGCGGCATCTGCCCGCGAATAGCTCAAGCAATAATTGATAGTTACGTACAGCACCATCTGCCCGCGAACAGATCAAGCAATAATTGATAGTTACGTACAGCGCCATCTGCCTGCGAATAAATCAAGAAATATCAATGAGGTTACGTACAGCACCATCTGCCCGCGAATAGATCAAGTCATAATGCCGATAATTCTGTCAATACAGATCTCGAACTCGAGAGTTACAAACATACATACCAGCAAACATACATACTATACATACAGGTGAAGCTAATATAAAGCGTGTAAAAAAATATGTACTTACTATGCACCTTCGTCTCTAACATTCATTAGAGAAAATCATACACGGCCAAACATATACTCAACTATATTAGCTTCGACTATCTACTGAATTGAAATTGTAATTTTCATTTTGCTGGGTCTTATATCTATCTATTGATACTTACCTTTTGGTGATCTTTAGGCCTTTTTACTTGTGAAATATGTTTCTACCAACTTCAATAAATGAAAAATATCTATCAGGAAACTATAGAATATACCCCTAATTATAATTTTCATATATATTGCCTAACTGAAATTGGTATTTTTTTTCAAAATGCCATTTGAAATTTGTATTCTAATTTATACATTCAAATATTTCACTGTTCTCAAACTTTTAGCGTACCCTATATATTCGGAAGGGTGGAGTTGGTTTGTTCGCTGTCTTTATCAATCTCAATGATCCTTTGCTTGCTTCCTTGTTGATTGTTCAACAAAATAATTTACATTATTGCAAAAATTCGAAGGATGCTTTGTTATTGACTTGCCATTAGGTACCTTGTATGCCTAGTGCAGTTGTTATGAATACTTGTTTTTTCTACAGTCTAGTAGAGTCGCATAATTCTTGTTTGCTGTGACTAGTTTTATTATTGTGAATAGAAAATAACATGTTTACAGCCTACTGAATAATTTGGCAATCAAAATGCAAAACAATCTGAATCAGCAATCGAAACAGTCATTACAAAATCTATTCTCATTTTCCCGGAAGATATTGACCTATGGAAGATCTTCAAATTTGTTGCAATTTCAAAATTCTGTTGACATCTGTCGAAAAAGTTGAAAACTAAAAATAATGAACGAAGAAAATGATGAATATTACTGGAGTTTTATCCCAACACCAAACAGTTGTTTTACCACCTAGACATGTGTTTCGATCACCAAGTGATCATCTTCAAGAGGAAGAACAAACTAAATATACGTACAATGTTATTCTTAATTATATCATAGATTCCTTCGCCAAGTAAATTAAATCAATTTCAATTTCATGTTGCCGTATTTACTAGTCCTTAATTAATTTAATAATGCATCCTTATGTTATAGTCGGGTAAATCTGATAATTGTATGCTGAAAGCTTTTTTTCGAATTTGATGTATGCCATCTAGGTTTG